GAAGCCACTTACTGATGCAGGAGATCAGATCGTTGAACCTTTCCTTAGGAAAGAGGGGGTTCTCCAGCCCGCGGAAGTAGAGCTTCAGAACGCCGGCCACCGAGTTAATGTCGTGGTCGCTCTGGTCGTCGGCCAGCGGGTTCTCACCTAAAGGGAGCAGGGACGTGTACGCGCCTCTCTGGACGCACAGCGCCTCTGCCACATTTCTGCAGGCGCACGCACGGCCACTGTCCCTCCAGGAGCGGCCACACGGCTGACATGACAGCAACTGGCCCGGGCTCTGCCCCGCGACTGACAAACACAGTCCGTCAGAAGGAGCCTTTTAATCTCGCGTGGCCCAGATGACCCCTGCGAAGTTGCTCGGGTCTTAAAATGTTGTGGGACTTAGTTTTACCCACTTTCCCCTCCAGCTGGGCGTGTGGAAGGGCGTGCCTGTCAGGGTACGGTCGCGTCACCCCGTCACGCCCCTCCGCAGGGAGGTCGGCCTCCCGGGGGGGGCCTGAGTCGGGCACCTCTGCGACCTGCCATGGCAGCGGGAGGCTGAGTCAGGGTAGGAACCGGAAATCGCGTCCTCAGGCGCGGGAGGGACTTGGCTCCGGGGGAGCTGGAGAGGCGCCCCGCAGACAGGGAGCAGATGGGGAGCGGGGTCCCTGCGGCCAGCACTTTCACAATCACAGCTGAGAAGGCTGAGAGCCGGCCGCTGGCCGGCCGGGTGCCCCGAGCGTTCCACGGACTTCACAGACGACCTCGCCCCGAGCCCCGCTTTCAACCACGGGTGTCCTGACAGCCCCCAAACTGAGTGTTTCACACCAACGTTCGTTCCAGCGTTCGGGGAGCGCGTTTTCGGGGCCCTTCGCTGCCTCTGCCTCGCAAGGAGAACCAGACCTGGCTGAGCCTGACTTCATGATCGCGCCCGGCGGCGCCCAGCGGCACGACACCAGCAATGGCCGGGCTCCGGACGGAACGGGGGCGTCCTGGCGGCTGCGCGGCGCAGGCCAGGGACCGCGTTGTGGGGAGCGGGCTCACCACAGGACCCAGCAACCTCAGTCCCAGGTATGAATCTAAACAAGCAGAAA